CTATCTAGCCATATCTATCAGGTCCAACAAATGAAGCACAATTCTGCACTTCCGGGAAGAACGTGCCACATGTGTCCCTCAGCGCCTCTCTGCAACAGGGCTTCTATATGTGGCCAATCTGATTAACGTAGGAATTGTTATCAATTTACAATTATGAAGGCACGGTTTGGCAGTTGGCTCCGTGCTGCGATGGAAATTTTAGCCCTGCCTGCCCATATCTCTGTCTCTTTAAACTGGCTTAATTCCCTCCTGCTGTTTTTGGGAGGAAAGTGTTGGCTTGAATGAAAAAGCGTTTGCGGTTGGGACCGGCTGTTGCGGTTATTTTCCAGCACCAGCGCTGCTAGTTGAAAATGCAGCAGCAGCAACAGGAAATAATACCCTAGGAGAAACCCAGGAAGTGACAGAATATATAAAAGAAATATTGTATTTTGGAAAAAATATGTGTCAATATAAAACTCTCCCGAAGCAATCAATAACACGTTTCCTATTATATTTATTTTCTGGAGATTGATGATTTTCGTTGCGAAAAAAAACGGATTTTAACAATACAATCCAGGTCTTGAGTTTTTTGGCTGTGTGTTAAAATATTCCCAGTCGAACCATTGATGTTTTGTAACTCCCATCCGAACCTAAGGGCCCAAAAATCTGATAATTTAATAGTACGAAGGAGAAAGACCAAAGTGTGCAGAATGTCTTGATAAGAAAGTGCCCCTAGCATGGTGATCAATTTTACAAGTTTCCAACCAGAAAGCCGAATGATAAATCTGAAGAGCAGGGAGAGAAATAAACAAGAGTCGGACAAATAAGCAAATCAAAATGATGCCAACGAGTAGCACGAAATCAAATTGAAATTGAAACTAGACAAAGTGAATTGGCAGGGAGCCACAGTTGCCATTGTCCCTCTCTGGGGAACTCTGGGGGGGATTGGGGAACCGATGTGTTATACAATATTATCATGCTTATATAATTTGCCCCGCACACACTGCGAGATATAGAAACAAACACATGCGAAACTGCGATAAAGCTCGAGTAACAAAGTTGAATGGCTGTCTACATCGCAGGACGATTTTCGGGGAAGGGAATTCCGGCATATCAAAAGTTATTGTGCTTGCGTCTCTGTGAGTTCGACTGGAGCCAAGGATTATCAAAGTATTAAAGGAGCAGCGCTCCCGACTCGGATTCAGACTCAGTTTTAGGTTCTGCGCCAGCTCCATCTTGAGCTCTGACTACTCCTAAGTTTTCGCACTTTATGAGACATCGTTGTCGTTGTCGTTGTCGTTGTCTTTGTCCTGCTTGCCAAACGCCTCGGGGGCTCATGTGGCAGGCTCTACTCGTCATAAAATGCCACACGATGAGAAAAAAAAAATATATAATGAAAAATTGGTGTCTAATAACCTATTTCGCGGCGATGATAAAGTATAGAAAATAAAGAAAGGCGCTAGAAAGCAATCATTTAAATATGTAAAAAATGCTAAGAACTAAACATTTCGAATGGGATCTGAGATATACATGTATTGCAGTATCCAGTTGCCAGCAGCTAGCAACTTTTTCTCCCGGTGCATCCACCACAGTGGGGGAAATCGCAGAAAACGGAAGCTGGGCCAACGCACATGCATAAGTGAAAGACAAAAGACGCCAAAAGACAAAGGCAGTGGGCTAACAAGGGAAAAACAAGATATGGGGAAAGCAATAGGAACCAAGAGGGCGGGGGCCAAGTTAAAGGACCAGGAATTGCAACTTGCTGGGACATGTAAGAATTATTATCTGCTCCTGCACTCTCAAGTGGCCCCCAAAGAAATGGGCAGGGGGGGACAATGAATAATGTCCTTGGCGCGCAATGCGGAAATGCAGGCTGCTGGGACCCAAAAGGATCCACGAGTAGGTAAATAAAATGAAGCCATAGAGGAAATTTGCTCTCGCGTACATTTCAATCGCCATAAAATTGTATAACCACCGTTTTATTTTCACTCAGCCAGCAAACAAAATAGACGCACAAGGAATACATAAAGTAAACTAACAAATTTTTCAACTCTCGCATTTCTCTAAATTTTTGCCTGCGAAACATTCCCCGAATGTCTACAACGCATTGAATTTCTGCGGCAAGCGGTTGGCGGATGTTTTATTTTTGAAATACTCTACTAATTTGCAAATTGTTTGCTGTTTTGAATATGTTTGCACGCTCTCCGCCGTTTCTGGCACTCGGTTGGCCTTTGGCCATATTATTCCGTCCTGGCTAACGAGGCGTATGCGTAATGTGCTGTTTGGCTTCTCTTTGAAGTGGCCCACGTGAGCATGGCAAACAATGTGCCTTCGGGCATTTTTCGATATTTGCGGATAGCTTGCTCACTTTGTGAGGTTTTATTTTCCTGTTTCGGGTATCCATTGCTTAATGGCGGCCAATTAAAATATAATCAGTTTGCTAATTGAATCGCGTAATATGTGGGTCAATTTAGGTTTTCAGTGGTTCGAGAAAATTAGAAATGGCTGTGAAACTTTGTTTTAGATTTTGGAGATTGCAATATTTAAATTGAGTTTGGATTGTGCCATTTTGGGCATTCTCGATTGTCAGTTTCAATCCGAATTGTGTATAATTTAATAAATTAATCAGGGACCCCGATCAGTTTTAAAGTTAATAGTGATTTCATCAATACGCATCACAAGCCGACATAATGGGTTTTAATATTATTGGTTAAGGGCATTAGAGAAAATTAATTATATAAAACAGAAAGCTGTTTTATATGTTTACACTTAAAAATAATAATCTTTTTGTGAAAATTTGGCCTGCAATTTTTTAGACAATCATCACATTTTTTGTGAAGTCTCCTTAACTTTTCGAAATAAAATCACAACTACATAAAAACCACATTACCCCAAGCCCAAAACAATAGCAATACCACCGAGTCATTTGTATTAATTTTTGTATTCGCAATGCAAATGAAGTTGTTCCTCTGGTAGTTACATTTCTATCTTTGCTTTTATTATGTTTGCAATTAAATTTCATTTGTGGAAAGCACCCCCACACACTGAAATGGCACTGCCAGAGGGAAAAACAGCAAGAAGCAATTGCTGCGGAGCTTCCAAAATGGGGGAGAAAATGTCTATCAGGGCAGAAGGATGGTAAAACAACAAATAATAACGGCGTTGATTTCATTTCTCATCTGGCCCTTTTTTCGTCATCCCCTTCCATTGGCCGTCACTTTTTTCGAGCTGTTTCCTCTTTTATTCCGCTCTGTTTGTCTACTTGTTAGCAGCCGCCTTGGCATTAACACGTTAAAAATTCGCTGTCCGGTTTTCCGCATTTCCCCGCCCTTTCACTATTTCCGCTTCCTTTTAAGTGAGCCATAAAAAACAAAAATCAACGAGCTTTCTGTCGCCCAACGCCTCGTTGTTTGTTTGGCCATGTTTACGGAAATCATTAACATTTTCTTAAATCTCCCACCCAGTTCTAATGAATTGGAAGTGGAATGCCCGAAGAACAGTAAAAACTCTTCAAAAAGAAGCGACTGTCGAGCTGCGACCGCCAATATTTTCCTAGGACATATCTTAAATGTTATTATATTTTCAAATTTAATATTTATCTGTTACAAGTTAAAAAATAAATCATTTTTCAAGGTCTATATAACTTATTAACTAACGCTATCGCATCTATAAAAAATATAAGTGAAAGCAAAGGCGATATCTCTGAATGAAATTGGTATCGGTGATTTATTAAGCTTACTTTGAAAGTGGGTAATTGCCTTACTTTGCCGCACTTTAGCCCATTTTCCAGCTTTCCTCGCACTATGATGGCCTGCTTTTCAAGCTCCATAACGCGACCCCAATGGGACCTTCCCCCCAGCCACTCGGCGCAGCTCAACTTAACTTTTCACTTTCAATCTGCCAGGTTCTGCGGCCCATAAAGCGGGGCGTTTATGGCCAACACGCGTGGCTAACACACTGAAACCCGGACACTGAGCCAGGAGCCACTGAAAAAAGAAACTTTCATAATTCATAAGCTGCAGGAATAAACTGCCGACTGGCGGGAAACCTACCAAGCACACGGCAGCACTTGGACTTACACTTCATATGGGGCCCAGTGTGGAATGGGATCCGTGAGAAGGCCACAAATCATGTTTTAACAACTTAATAAGTTGGCAAACGCTGGTCCATCCAAGCGAATTTGAATATTGGCCCTGGTCGGGACATGTGGCTAACACTCTGTTTTCCCAGCCAAATTTTCTCCGCCTCCTACCGCGTGACGTGCGCATTTTCCTGCATCATCATCAGAACCAAAAAGAAAAACCAAAAAAAAAAAAAAACAGTACATGAAGAGGAAGATGAGACCACTCCACGATGCTTTTTATTTGCGCTGGCTTTTTATGACATTTCAAGGGAAAATTTATATAATAATCATAAAAGCGGGAGAGCATGACCGAAGCGGAAATGCTGCGATTTATTTGTATTTGCAGAGTCTTTTCCGCTCACTATGTTTGTGTTTTATTTGCAGCCAATTGATTTGACTGGCGGCGGGAAACTCCGATGATGGGTATGATTTTTTTTCCATTTCGTTGCCACGGGCATTGTTTTTGGCGATGTGGAACATAAAAGCGTAACATCATATGGCCGGAGCACTCGTCCTCTGGCTCGCGATGCCATCAATGTTCCCACTGAGGTTCTCTTTATGTGGCATGAATGATTTTATGACCGCCCACACATCGCACGGGAAAAAGCTGGGAAAACGCTGGAAAGGCGGGAACAGCGGGAAAAGGTTGTTCTGCACTTTGGCCACTTTCCTGGGCATCAAATCAGGAAATTGTTGCAATTAAAGTGTAAATAATGATGCAGCTTACAATAAAGGAACGTGCTAAATTATTTCTTTAAGCCCAGATGCTATCAAACTTTTTGCTTTAGTAAGCAGTGCATATTGATAAGCTACCTGGCATCTGCAAGTGAAAAATTTCATTAATTATTTTTTAAATTGCGCTGAAATATTATAAGTTAACTGAGAACGTACAATGTTAAACAAACAAAGTGTGCCCTGACAGAGAATTTAAATGCATTACGAGTAAGTCCCCTGAATCTTTCAGTTAAACCCCAAAACTCAACAAGGAAACATCTAAACTTCCATTTTTATTTTACTTTTACAAAATACCATCAGAATGTTGTGAGTATAGGTATCAGAAATTGACGTAAGCACAATTTGTTTAGCAAAGCCTTTTGCCAGTGAGTCTTTCGATTGGACCTTGGGATTGGATTTAAAGAACTTTCGCGATGTGAAACAGCGTGTACTGAGAAAAATCGGGGATATGGAGCACCAAGGAGCTAAGTGGGGTCGCCTCATCGGCATCGAAGATGGCAAGGACGATGCTTTCCTTCGTTTTATGAAGAAGAACATCTAGCCCCGTTAACAAAATTGGAAAAATGTGTATTGCATGTTACTTTAAAGCCAGACGAGAATACACTTGTTCGATAAACGAAATGCATTGCCTTGCGTAAACAACACGAGTATTGTAGTTTTTTTGACACTCGGATCTCAATTATTCGCTTAGCCTTTATGATGATACTGTTGCCTGGACAACGATTCAACCGCAAAAATGGAAAAGCACAAAGAACGAGTGAAAAAGGAAAGCTTTGCTTCTGCCGAGCTGAAACATATGGTAGCACAGGGAAAACTGAAGTGAGATGGGTTGGGTGGCGCAAAAAGAGTTACTGAAAAACTGCTGAAAAATGACATTAATTTTAATGCATCGCAACAACCGGAACAAAATGAAAAGCATAAAAATTTTGCACTTTTTCCACTCGATTTTTAATTAAAAATTGTTTGTGGCGCGCATTTTGCATTTTGCATTTTTGAAAACTGGACAGAGGATGTGTTGCCGTGAATTTTTATTGTGGATTTCCTTTTATTGGGGACGAAAGAATCCTTTACCTTTCCCGCTTACCCGTCCCGCTTGTCACTTGAACTGTCAATTACATTTGTGAACCGCTCATCGTCGAGCTTCCCACATCAAACTCATTTTCGTGTGCATGCATGCGAAATTTTCCTTCGATTCTCTTATTTTCGGTTTCATCTTTTTGGATTTCCGCCCATATTGTACTTATACATTCCTCAGTAGCGGCATTTGATTAACATTTAAATTTGCTTTCGGCGTATGTGCAACTGACAGTCGAGTTTTCCTTCGGTTACGGCACCAGTACCAGTACCAGCACCAGTTTTCTTCACGTTTCCGTTCGAATTTGCTCGGCTCGAGTGCAAAGTGTGTGCTTAGGACACACAATAATCAATTGTTTTAGCCTCACTCATCGAGTGGTAATAGAATACTAGCTGCCTCCTGTTCTGGACATTTGATTCGATTCGATTCGATTCGATTCGGTTCGAGTCAAGTCGGGTTATTGATGATGGCTCTGGAAATCGGACCACACTCTGGCACATATTTATATTATTCGCTGCGGAAAATTGTTTATTGTTTATTGAAATGAAATATTGTTCTCGGGTGCCTCGGCAATTTGCATTCGTTGATTGCTAAACTGAAGTGTGCTCTTCAAGGTAAATCAAAAATGTGTTGTCAGTTTGACAATTGAAATGATTTCAAATTGTGCGGCAAAACAGGAAAATGTGGAAAAAATTCCCGGGGCAATGCCAAATTTTGTATTCTAGTTCATTAAAAGTGCGACTTCATTTTCTGTTTTCGCCTTGCCGCTCTTTATACCGCATTGGTATAATTGATATTTTTCAATATAACTTACAGATTGTGTGATAAACATCTTTTAATTGGAGCAATGATCGATGAAAAAATGCCTACGTCAATTGTGTGGTTTCATTTCTCTTATTAATTGGAAGGCCGGCTATATAAACCAAGTTATATTTATTTATATAGCCAGCCATATGTAAAAACAGCCAGCACTCATTTTTGCCCATCACTTAGCCAACCAAGGAACTTCACTCTGAAAGTGGGGTGTGGGGTGTACTTAAAGAAAATCCTGGCCAGAATGGTGGCAGGACTAAAGTACGTGTTGATTATGGAGCGTGGTTGTTATTATTATTGTTGCAGCAACATCTTCTTCTTCGTTGTTGTGGTTAATGCGGGTGTGGCAGGGCAGGGGGCGCAGGGGGTGAAGTAGAAAAACTTCTACACCATTTACCATATTCCACGACTAGCAGCAAACGTAGTTTTTTATGCAAATATTTAAGAGCATCATCGAAGGCACGGCGAGTGCAAGATTCTTTCCACTCAACGGGGTGTGCATGTGGGTGTGCAATAATGCCCTCCATGTGTGTGCGGATGATGGGAGTAGGAAAATCCCCTCCTGCGAAAGCCATATGTAGAGATATGTTTATGTCTGTGCACTACACTCGACGATAAAATCGTCATGTAGTCGTAATGTCTGCATCAAATTGCATTTGCCCAACGCCTCTGGCACCTCGCTGACTCCCAGACCCTCCCACTTTTCGCAACTGCCCTCAGTTTCCACTTTTCCCAGGAGTGAGGATATGGGGGTTCCATATGTGTCGACATCGTCAACGCAATGTGTATTTATGCATAGTTTAATGCGGTTCAATGTCTGGTAACGACATCAAAACACCAGTCGGAATGGAAGCTTCCCACCCACTCCACTCACTGAAGTCATAATCATAATCAGGAATCATAGTCAGTCGCAGGAAAAAAGAAGAAGCTGCGTCTGACTTGAATAGATATTTTTATTATTTTGAAATTGAATTCGCATATCGTTAGTAACGGCAAAGACCAAGGGAAATCGGGAAACGGATTGAAACTGCGCTTGAATGCACGTTAACCAAATCGGATTTGCTTAATATATGATCCGGAATTTGAATTTGATTGCTAAGTGCATTTCATGTGCATATCGATGGCATGACAATGTTATGATAAGACCAAAGTGGGGGATTAAATAGCAATGAAGGGAAGGTGCAAAACTGGGCAGATTGCGTGGATTAAATGAAGATTTTAGGGGCACGTTAGTAGCAACATTAGGGAAGATTTAAAAATATATGTATGAATATAATAAAAATTATATCAAACAACAATTAAGACTGATATTTTTAGCTAAAAATAAAGCAGTAGTAAAGAGATCACTATTCGCGAGAGGATTTTAGGCTCATTCTGGGCTGGATCTTGGCCAACAAGGGCCAAACAAGATGCCCCTTTCGTGTCATTTGCCTGTCTAGTGGTATTTTATCATTCTGCTGATTTGAAGTACCAGCAGAGATGTATTTCACTCAGTGTCCTGGATCTTGTATCCTGCGTGTCCTCGTGTCCTTCGCCACTCGACGATTTGAAGATGCAAAAATGTCCATTTAACCGAGATTTATGGCAGCCAGCAGGGTTATTTATGGCAATTTGTTTTATTTGCACGATATCTGCCAGTGGCCAGATGGAAAGCCACCTCCATTCCCTGGCACTAAGCACTCGCAAATAAATTTGCACAAATTATAATGGGTCATGGGGATTAAATTCAAACGCGCCCTGCAAAAAAAAGTGGGGTATGTGCCTATAGCCATGGTTAAATGGATAAAATTCGATGGAAAAAGTGGCGGAGAGAGGAAACTCTGGAGGGGAAAGCTTGCCCGCGGGTCAGTTTATCGCATTTATTGGCGCTCTATATTTTATACATAAATTCTGAGCCACGTTGCGTTGTTGCAGGTGCAGCAGCTGCACACAAAAACAAACTGGCAAACACGCAAACAAACAGAAAAATGAAACCAAATGCAAATAGCTTAATACACATTTTTTGGCCCGGCCAAAACAAGCTTTTGCCTCTCTTATTTTATCCGCCCCATATAGTACAAACATATATCTGCATACATATAGACGGAAAATAGGGAGTCCCGGCAGCATAATGAATGCCACATAAATCCGGCGGCTCCGTGCACTAGATTTCATGGCTATGATTTTGTAATAAAAATGCATTTTTATTATGAAAATAAATTGCATTCCTTTCGGTGCTTTTTCTTTATTTATCATATGCTTTTTGCGCTTACTTTGTTAAATTATTTGGAGAGCTGAAGTGAATGAGATAAATCCCTGAAATCATAATTTAAATTCCCACGAAAAAATCACTCTTCAAACGCTGAAAGGAATGAATGGGCCGTGCAAATGGCGGCAGAACAGGCCAATATTAATTAGTTAATTTGCGGTCAATGGCCCAGAAATGTGGGAAACTGGACACGATTGCTTATTTAGCTGATTGTCTTTGCCTAATGTCGCGTGTACGCAAAGGGAATTATTTTCGAGACGGTGGCTGAAATGAAGATATTAAAGGATCAAATCTTTCAGATAAATTCAGAAAGTAACAAAGTGAAAATGAAAGTCGCATAGAGGAAATGGTGTAATGCGATTAATTATGCCACTTCCATTTAGTAAAAAATTGTTAAATTTTTAAGTCTCGCATTTAATTGTTTTAAAGTTGCATAAGTTGTAATCGTGCCTTGTTCCGTGCCATTTAAATTGATTTAGTGTAAGCTCCAAAATATATTGCGTATACGCGATGTGATCCGCTTACCGTGCAAAACTGTTGCATGTTAAACGGGTTTTCGTGTCGTAAAAACCGCAGAAGCCAAGCAGCAACAAAAACAGACAACGAGTGGCAATGCAAATCCAAAATGGCGTTAACTTCAAGAAGAGCAGCAGCAACAACAATGTCAATCCCTTTTTAAAAACTTTTATTGTGCAGTCAGGCGTAAACAGAAATGCCCCAAAAATAAATACAAATACAAGTACAAGGACGAGACGGAGACGGAGACAGAGTCACCCATACAGACAGCCAATATGGCCGCGTGGAAAACTAATATGCTTTAATGGCTTAGGACTTTCAGGACTTTGAATGGCTGCCCTCACAATGTTATCCTTTTGCTCAGCCCGAATCCCTTGGCTTTTTGCGTAAACAAGTCAAATGGATAAAAAGACATGACGAGCCATTGCGCACTGGGAGAAATTATTTGTGATTAAAATAAAATAAATAAATAAATATAAAATAAAATAAAATAAAATAAAAATATAATATATTCTATGCTTTTCTATTTATATAAAACATTGAATGAATTCTTTTAATTTATTTGTATACTACATTTATAAGTACGATATAAGTACAAAGTGAGAAAATCTTATAAATAAATAACATCGCTGGAAAGTTTTATCAACAATTGCTGGCACTGTTTGGCTGAATTTCCACCCCGTTCCCATATATTTAGCCATCCTACGATTTCGTCAGTGACTGCTGCATATGTTTGGCTTGACTTGCGTCTGCTTAATGCGCAAAATATTGCGATGATCAATAACAATCGCCTGTCCCCTGCAGCTCCGGGCCAAATCCCCGCCCCGGCACCCGCCCCCGCCCCTGCAAATCCGCCATTAAACCCCCACTGCCATTTGTTGTTATCATGTTTGGCGTCATTATTGTTGTAATTTATTTGCGCTCTGCACATTTTTCGCTTACGCCTTGGCTCAGTTTTGCCTTTTGTCCATTTGTATTGTGTGTGTGTTGGAGTT